CTGGAGACATTTAAGGATATGGCAGCGAACCGACAGTAGTGGCGTTCTTGTTGTCATTCCTTTTCAGGCCAGAATGCTTGAAACGGTATGTATGCATAGTTTGATTGTGTACTCTGTGTGCTGACCATAGGGGTTCACCTTCTCCCTCTCTCAAAGTAGATCCAACCCCTATCCATCTTAAATTTTACCGTTAACCTTGTATGTATTGCGAGTTTGGCAGCGGTCAGTGAAGTTCGCTTCACTGTATTTAGCTGTACGACCATGATGATGATGATGATGATTCAGTCTGTGTACAAGAATCCTGGCTGAATGAGATGTAGGTGATACTCTAGTTTCAATAGACGGTTTTCAAGTTTACCGACAACATCGTCGAACCGGAGAAAAGAAGACTGGAAGGGGTGTTGTGATATATGCCAACGTTTCCTGGTGTGGGAAGTCCCATGTCTTTTTCAGAACTGCTCAAAAGGTTTTGAGTGCCTAACCTTGCAATGTCACTCGAGATTTTCCCGTTTTACTCACAATTTTCACTAACTTGTATATGGCACCTTACTGTATACAATCACACCCAATGTCATTTTTCAACTTTTATAAGTTTCATTGCCCCACTTTTAGGTGTTAACTTACACATAATCATTTCTGACTTTAACTACACTATTACTTATCCTCTGTTATCATTAGGTGTGATAGGTCTTTGTCACTCTCCTACAACAATTACTATACTGAACAGAATAATCACCAACCACCCAACCCTTTTTCTTTAACACTAAAAGCATGAATTTCCACCAGAGACTACTGTTTACTCTTTCCCCCATGTCCCATGTCCGTAAACATTTTCCCCCGTTGAATGTGTTGTCTGTGACAGATGGTTCGTATAGCTTTTCAATTGATATGTATGCTTTAGTGCTTGTAAAATTTATATACAATACAATATATTAACTCTTGCATGATCAGGTGCCAAATGTAGGTTATTGGAAAACTTCACGGTGCTTTCTTCGGATATTAACGATTTTGTGTCGGGGAAATTCTAGGCCAGGCTAAAAAACAGTATGTTCTCAGGAGTCTGCGTTGAGATTCTTAATTTCTTATGAGTACTGGTGTGGAATAATGGCTATTGATACTGTTTCAAGAATCATTGCCGCGAGTCCTCGACCGTCTTTTTTTGATAAAAGAATATTTTACGAATGGGGTAGGCAACTCGAAGTCAATGACCAGAAGTTCTGTGTGCTTTTGGGCTCGTCTATAGATCGGGGATAGGAGAACTGCCGTGCGCATTACATCACTAAATTAGCAGTCGTGGTTGATGGTTGATTAATAATAATAATAATAATAAACAGTCAGCTTTGGAAAGTTTCCAATCGAGCCCGTAATCCTAGAGGTGAGTACTGAGATGCGCGAGGTTTAATGCCCGCATTAAGCTCGCAAAAATGGGTTGTGCCAGATCGTGCATAAAGAAAATAGTCAGCTGTTTGGTGGCCAAGTGGATAGTATGTTTGTGTTCTACCTCTGCTTTGTGCTGACCACGGACTGTTTCTGTCAAGCACGAACTTCTCGCACA